ATAGACTTTTTAGTTCATAGTTAAATAGGGATCTCTAGGTATTTACTGGGCCTAGTCCATCTCATCCCTCATGTAATTTAAGAATCTGCATTATGTCAAACCTAAAAGGAATGTAGCTATCAGAATACTAACATAGATCAAAACCTCCTTAAGCAACCCAGCTTAACCAACCTGTGAGGCAGGGCTTTTGACTACTACAGCCCATGCCAGGCACATGAGTCAACAGAACTCCTTACAGAGTTTGACACTCTCATCTGCAAAAAAGCTGTTGTAACAGTAGTGACAAAAGATCAGTACTTTCTCGTCAAAAAGAAGGGGGCGCAGTGAGACCTCTCCAAGACCTGAGAAGCCCAAACAAGTGTTTGTTAATAAAGAAGTTTAGAATATTATCCATTCTAGAAGTCCTTCCTCTGTTACACTGGGGTGTATGGTTTTTAATGCTGGATCTGCTAGATGTGTATTTCCATACAAATGTAAGACGAGACCATTGGAAATATGTCTGTTTCCAGTGTGGTTCCCGCCATTTCCAATTTGTGGTTCTTCCCTCTGGGCTAGCCACAGCACTTAGGGTATTCACCAAAGTAGTAGCAGTGGTAGTTGCCTTGCCTATGAATGCTGGGGTGCAAGATATATCTGTACCTTGCCAACTGGCCAAAGCACTGAGAGGACTTGTGCCTCATGCTAGGAATATTTGAGGCATTGCACCTATAGGTCAGTGCAAGGAAATCTAAGGTGGAACCCATGCAAAGGGTTCATGCATGGCTCCCATGCATGGCTCCATTCATAGGAGCCATGGTAGATTGCACTCTAGCCCTGGTAGTCAGACTAAACATACATTTCCAGAAATTATGGTTTCAGACAGCCATATTAATCTAAAAGCTGCTAGGATTAATGGGCTCCAGAACTTCAGTGGTTCCCCATGCAAGACTATGAATTCACCCCCTGCAGTTATGATTTATCAGTATTTTCAACTGTGTCACCTCCTATCAAGGAGGTTAAATATCCCAAGAAAGTTGGTATGATCCCTCCATTTGTGGATCCTAGTTACCAACTTCCTAGTAGGGATTCCATTTAACCTCTGTTTACTGGACAATGACCATCTGGCATTCTTATTCCACCAAGTGGAAACATTTCTGTACATGGGCTAAGGACCAAACCTTAGAACCTGTCATGTGTCTCATCAAAAGAGTCTTCAAACACCTCCTAAACCTGACCAGGGAGGACTCTTGTCCACCTTCTTAAGAGTCCATATAGCCACAATAGCATGCTTCCACATCCATATCGAGAGGAGATCCTTGTTTGCCCAAAGGGAATCCATAGTATTCTTAAAAGGGTTACTAAATTAATTTGCCCCAGTCCAACCTCTTGTTCCCCAGTGTTAGCATGTTGTTTCATACTCAAGGGCAAACCATTCAGACCCATGGCCACCTTCTCTCTTAGTCTTCTCATCATGAAAACAGTGTTTCTAATTGCCATCATGTCAGAAGGGTCAGTGAATGCCAATTAAACCCTTCAGAAAATACAACAAGCTTTTCGTCTCCTTCCTAGGCCCAAGTGTGAGCAAGAAAGCCTATACGGGCTTAGTCCATTTCCATATGGATAGTCACCTACATTAAAAGACAACGACCGAAGTTCCGCCGCAAGAAAAAGGGTGCCTGGTAGGGGAGTCACCACCCCTATATGTCTGTGGCCCTAGGTTAGATTCTGTAAAAATGTGATTAGCACCTTCTGTAAGCCGCCCAGAGACCTCCAGGGGTTAGGGCGGGATAGTAAATCGAACTTAATAAATAAATAATAAATAAATAATAAATTGTGTTATAAACCAGCACAAGTTGACTATCCTCTGCAGCTCTGTGGTCATTCCACCCAAGCACAATCTACTTTAGCTGCTTTTTCCCCATTGACTCCCATCTGCAAGGCTGCAATGTGGTCTTACTCATGCACCTGTACAAAGCATTACTCGATGGGCAAGGCGCCATGAGAGATGCAGTAGTGGGAAGAGTCACCCTGCTGTCTCTGTTCAACTGAGAAGTCACATGTACCTTCCTAAGTCAGCTCACTGCTCACCCTTATGGAACTGCAGAGCTGCCATGATGATGAAAGCAACGTTGCACCTACCTATAATTGTTATTTATTGAGTGATCCCCTGTGCAGTCAAATATCCCTCCCTTCTGCACTCCTGTGAGCTCTTAACTGAGTCAGACAACTATGCCTTACTCTGGTGGCAGCAGAGAGAAACTATGGGAAGTGTGCCCCACCTCCTCCGTATCACACTGGAAAAGGTGGGAAAACAGCCTGGATGAGGGGGATGGAGTGCCTTCAGGCAGTTTTGAGCTTCAAAACCTCTACCTGATGTTGATTTTTTGGATATACAATACCCATGTGTGACTGCACAGGTGACCACTCAGTGAACAATTCCAGGTAAGTGCAACCTTGTTTTCCAAATCATTTACTGTGCAATCACAAACAGAGTTATTTAAATCAATTGATTTATGCTGGAGTAATTCTGCATGATAAAAAGTAGAGACATCACCCTGCCAGCAAAAGTCCGCATGGTCAAAGCAATGGTATTCCCAGTAGTCATGTATGGCTGCGAGAGTTGGACTATAAGGAAGGCCGAGCGCCGAAGAATAGATTCTTTTGAACTATGGTGCTGGAGAAGACTCTTGAGATTCCCTTGGACTGCAAGGAGATCAAATCAGTCAATCCTAAAAGAAATCAACCCTGACTGTTCCCTGGAAGGCCAGATACTGAAGGTGAAGCTCAAATTCTTTGGCCACCAAATGAGAAGGGAACACTCACTAGAGAAGACCCTGATGCTGGGAAAGATTGAAGGTCAAAGAAGACGGGGACGGGCCTGGCGGGAGCTGGTCCATGGGGTTGCGAAGAGTCGGACTTGACTGTGTGACTGATCAACAACAACAACAACAACAAAATTCTGCATAGGATTCTGCTGTTCATTTCTGTATCAGTCAGATGCAGTGCCAGATTTTCAGTGGAAGATTATAAAGTAGTAGTGCAGATGAAGCACTGGGGAAAATATAGTTTGTGGTATCAAGCCACAGGTCAGAACCCTGACTGTGGCCTTCTGTACCAGTTAAAGTCTTCAGACAGTTGTCCAAGGCAGAAATATTTATATATCCATTTTTCTCCTGGGTATTCAGGGTTCCAGGGTATAAAGAAAAGTCTGAAGTGATATAGTATAGGCAGTCATTTTTCCCCAACTCACAATTTGTACTAGCTCTCATTACATGCCCATATTGGTGCCGGGAGGACGGTCCCGTGGTGAGAGAGACGTCGGTCGGACCGCCTGCTGGGGGGCTCGGATCGTCCTGACCACGCCAGAGTGTGTGAACTGCACCTGGAGGAGGTGGGGTGCCGAGCTGCTGTCCCTGGCGCTGCTTGGCAACAAGAGGGACGGAGTGCGGCTAATCCAGTGGCGAGTGGAGTCGGTGAGGGTCAGGAAGAGCTACCTCCCCCCTGATGCGGGGATTGGGAGGATTAGGAGTGGTTGGGAAGCTGATCTACAGCGGGGGAACATCGAAGTAGTGGACTGGTGCTGCAAATTGCTACATTGTGGGAAGAAATAAAGTGCTTTGCCCAATTTAAATTGAAATAATATTAATTGATGGTGGTAGAAGGATTTATTAAATTGGAATAGAGGCTGGGTTAATATTAATAGGTATAAGATTGTTCTTAGCCTTAAGGCTGTCCAACCAACTATAATATATATTAGGATTGCTAATTGTGTGATTTGGTGTGTCATGATTTAAAAATAGAAAAATAAAGAAAAATGGGTGGGTGGGTATCCGATTGGCCTTTATGCTATTAAATGGCCAGATACCCAGTATCATTGGCAATTCAATTGGATGACGGTAGGATAGGCTAGGGTACTGTAGCGCTAGCAGCACTATAGGGGGCATCCGCTGTGTATCAATTGTATTAACTGAGCAGTGCATTGAGCTTTTTTGCTGTTGCTCGATCAGTGGTCTGTTGCTCGATCAGTGGTCTGAAGCTTGCGGAAACAAGCGAAGACTACTGAGAGAAATGACGTCGGGCCAGAAAATTCCGGTGCTCCTGGGGAGGGGGAAGTACAGCGGTGGGAGCAGGCGGTGGAGTATGGGAAGGGGGCGGAGAAACAGTAAAGCTCGGCCTCCTTCCAGCCTGCGGCCCAGAGATGTTGGCGGTGGGGTTAGGGAAAGCACCCCTGCTCCGACATTGGTGTTAAATAATAAGAC